AATTTTATTCCTTCCCTATTTGATTAAAAATATCTTTTCTTGTCCTACCTAAAATATCCTCACAAGAACAGCAATTACAAACAGTAGCTGAAACAATTAAAACCTTAAAGGATACAATACTGATTTAAAAATTATGGGACATTTTTTCTATCAAGAATGGTTTCACCTTCCAGGCAATCCTAATTATAAAATTGGTATAGGAAATTATTCTGGTATCCTGGAAGCCATAAGCCTGCACACATGGAGTCATATAGAAGTCATTCTTATTAAGAGCCATTAAAAAAAAAAACGTTTGAGATGAACAAACACCCGAAAACTTCTTATATAAGTAAATTCACACAATGATATACAAGGTATTATTTTAAAAACGAAGTTAAAGGTTATGGTTAAACATCATTTAAGAGTAGGATCAGTAGAAGAGGTAGCTGGAAAGAAGGACCTAATTTGGGCCACACTTTGCTGATCCTTAGCTATGTCAAATAGTCAAATTCTTGGCTTGCAACAATTTCAAATGATCAAATGTCCTAATTCATCTGCACAATTCTGAGGATCCCAAAATATATTACAGTCTATTTTAAAATAAAGAGAAACTTGTTTTCAAAACAACTTTTCCTACATGTCTCACATTTTCTTAATTTCAGAACCTTGCACTTGTGCCTCTGCCTGTAAACTAAATATTGGACATTTTTCTTTTGTTATTTTTAGTCTGTTGGGCATTCAGGGCATTCCTGGTATTTAAAGTTACTAATTTATTTCCTCATGTAAGCTCTCCAAAGTTATGGCATGCAGCATGGATTTTGGATCTTGATAACACCCACCTAGAAACTACTTAACAGGTGCCACATATATTAATAACTTCATCTTTGAGTGAGGTTAAATAAAGAATTCAATAAGCTCCTAAAAACTAATTTTTATGTTTCAAAATAATTTGAATCTGAAATTCCTTAAGGAAACATAACCATTGCTTGAAAACCAGGACACCATGAGTCAAAATATCTCAGTGGTGTAACTAATACACTTCAAAGTAGGTAAATTCATATTTTCTTAAATATATGACCACTGGGTGATGTTATGTATTCAGCACTCATATTTTTGTTTGTATATTACACAGTATTATATAATATGCGATGTTTAATATGTCATATATGTTGAGTTTGTATTGTTAGGAAACCAATAGAGACTGGCATTGAAAATGGTACCTTAATATTACCTTTCTGGTCATTATTGTGTTGATTTGAATTCTTTAGTTTCATTTAATTACTTCAAATACCAACATTTCACATTCACATCCTCTGTGACATGACACAGAGAAAAATATATAAATGTATCTTTTACATTGTTTTCTGACAGCTTATCTTCCACAGGGACCTCAGACTCTCCCCCGTACCACTTCCTTTAGGATTTAGCACCATCACTCATCTCCCTGTTCACCTGCATCTTCCTCTTGTCTACTGTAATCTTCTCTGCTTACTTTCCCCATTGCAAAGAATACCCTCAACCCAGCTTTGTTCTCAAGCTGTTTTCTTCCTCTTCTCTTCAATAGAACACCCCAGAAAGAATTCATCTCAAAGGTTTTATCACACTGGCCATTTACTTAACACGCTGTTTCTCCACAGAAAGATCTTCATTTATAGGTATCAATGCCTCTCCAATTACCAGAACTAAGTTCCTCATTCCAGAAGATTAACCAGTGGACTAGGTAGCTTTTGGCAGTATCTGATATAATCCATTCATCTTACCAATATTTAGGTGAATTCCATATCCATATCTTCAATTACCATATTTATTTCAAGCATTAAAATTGCACCATGCATAAAAAATACACAGTGCATTCCACTGTCTTAGTAATAGCACACTCTTTCATCTTCTACACTTCTACCACATAAATATTAATATTTTCCACCATAATATTCTTGACCTTCTTTCACTACTGTCTTTATACAAACTTCATACAAGACTTCGTTGTCTATTTTCTGTGTACTACATATAGGTTAATCACTATAGGTACATGCCAAGAGCCTAAAGTTACTCTTTAGATTATGTTCCAATAGACATCAAACCCTACATGTCAAAATAAAATGCATAGTTTCTTGTTTAATCTTTTAGCCTCTATTCTCCCATGGGGATGTTCACCTTAATTATTCAGGTGAAAAAAAAAAAACCTGGAAGCCTTTGAAACTCTCTATCCATGTCATTTCCCATTTTCACCTGTACTCTCTAATCTTCATGTAGCAATCACAGTAAATTTTTATATATTAGTATAAGATCATGGCAAAGTCCTGCTTCAAAAGTTATGCAATAAGCCCACCACCTATTCAAAATACCACATGCATTCTTCACTGTGTCTTACACAATTAGGTTCTTCCTTTTCCTTTAGGCATTTCCAGCTCTGCACATGCAATAGTGGTCTTTATGGAACACACCAAGATCCCTGCCTTCTGGGTCCTTTTCTCTGTTGTGCAGTGCTGTTGCTGTTATATACTTAAGTCTTACCCCTTACCAACATACGTATTTCCTTCAAGTGCACCTATATCTGGAACCTTACTTGCCTGGTAAATATTAGCTAAAAGTGAATTACTCAACTATTATGAAAATTCATTAATAAATTATAGATTCATGCCTCAAAAATTGTAGTATTAAAAGCTGAAAATGACTCAATAAAAGTCATCAAGTCCAAAATGTAAATAAGTCTAGACAATCCAGACTCTACAAAACGTTTTGTTTTAAATTACTTTTGTTATGAAACACAAAGAGCAACCATCACAAAAGATTAGATATACAAGATAGGGCAAAAGTAGTTCTGTGAGGAGCAAGGATGGCATTCAGTGTTACCGATGTGATGCAGAACCTGCTGGGGTTATGCAGTCAAGAACCAGTCAGCATTCTGTCTGGAGTAGATGCATGAAATTCATAAGCCTAGTCATGCTGCCATAATTCTCTTTCTTTTCCTTTTTGGACTCAGTTATGGCCTTGGAGTTGTAATCATTAATCACAGAGTGCCAATTAAAATTCTAAAGAACAGAGGCAAAATAATTCAATAGAAAATTACATTTGTTTCACAGCTTTTCTTTTGAATCAACATCCGGGGGTCATGCCAATTACAGATTTGAAGTTTAACCACATCAGAAAGAAATGAACATCCAAGTTGTTTTTATTCAAAATGTAATGTAATTCCAACCAACACTTTCTAGATGGAAAAGTCTCATTTTGTATAGCATATTCACTTTTCAGACTTTGGATAGACTTTTTTCTTTCAACAGAATCAGGAGTATCAAAACAGCACGCATATTATCAGTTAAAAAGCAGGTTTAGTAACAAAAAATTATAAAATTAACAGAGTCTGATACTCATGAGATTTGCAAATTTGTAGAATGTCTGAGTACGGATGTTTCAGATAAGGATTGTGTCTCTATAATTCTGGGCATTGGGCGACTTTTTTTTTCTATCAAGTATGAGCTTGCTTGCTTATCAGATTCTCTACAATCAGAATAGAATCAGAAGGATGACAGCGTAGACGAAAGCCTCTAGGCTTAAATGCCTTTATACTGTCGAATACCTTAGTATGGTTAAAATAAAAAAAGCCAAATCAACACTCCAAGGTTTAAGAGCTATGCAATATACTTTTCAGGAACTAATAAGAATCTCAATAGAGGCCCTGAAACTATTTTCAGAGGTGTTATATATATATCACATCCAATTAGGAATTATTTTGCAGTTGAAAAAACCCAGACTCAGAGAGTTTACATGTTTACCAAATATCACATAGCTAGTATAGAAGGGTCTGA